CTTTTGCCTGCAAAGAATATAAAATGCAGCTTAGTCGGCAATGCACCTGCATGGAAATTCATTGACATGAAGTTCCAGTTATGAGAGAATGACAGTGAAACACGAATCACTCTCATGAAACACAGTGTTGTGCAGCCATATTAATAATCAATTAGGTGGATAACCACCTGATGCTGCACATGTGGTGGCACCTCCAGCTGCCTGTGGCTTTATGCCTTGACAGTATCAGCTGAAAAAAAAAATCTGTTCCCTGTTTATCACGACTAAACTCAGCAAAATAATCCATTCTTCTGCACTTCACCCCATATTTTCCCACTTGATGATTAGAGATGCAAATGTTGATAAMTAAGTTGACTGTTTTTAAGTACAACTGGGTCAATAAGTTGAACATTGTGCTCTTTTCCTCCAATTACACTCCTATGAGAAATAGCTCAATTATAATTAGGGAAGCAATTATCCCCTTGTTAAAGGTGAAACAAATCACAAGTTTTAGTGAAAAATTCAGTTTTGCTCCTTTTACCATGCCAACTAATCTTGTATCCATTGATGTTTTGATCCCAGTGCTCTCCAAAAGGGATAATCTGATGAAATAAAGCATCTTTGAGTGTATTTCTGGCTCACCATGTGATAGTAACATTTTCTAGGCATAAACTAAAATGAGCAAGAAGGGATTAATTTCATAGAATGCTGCCATTATGCCACTGGAGCAACCCAGCACCCATCCGTGGGTTTATTAATTTTCTTGTTTCTTCAGGGAGATGGGAGGGAGGTTTGCCTACTGAAAGGGAGACAAATGCTGCATCAGAAATGTAAGGAAGGAATTTTATTTTCGGTTTGGTCCTTTCAAAAGTGTTGTAAAAATACTGAGCAATATGATTTGAGAGTATTCTGGCAATRGGTTTTTCTTTATTTTACCCAGTCTGCCTTAAAATTTGAATGTGATTATTATTAATCTCCCCTATAATCCTTGAGTTAAAGTATATCTCAGTGGCCTTTTATTCCTGGTCCTAGTGGATTGGAACCTTGCTCTCAGGTTCAGGTTGATGGATTCTTCTTCCTCCTCTGCACTGAGTTCTCTCAATAGGGTTGTGTCTTCTTGGTGAAAAATACCTTTTTTTTTTTTTCCCATTTGGTCAAATGTGGGAACCTACTTAGAGATCCATAATCAGTTGGTGTTAGAGATAAACATGAACAAAAGAATCTTTTGCTCCTTATCTTGTCACGATGTAGTCAGAGGCAGAAGAGTAATCAGATAACATTTCAATGCAAGTTGTGGTCTGACTGTATAAAATTGTGACTATAGAGGCTTCCATTTAGCCAGTCACACTGATTCATCCATACCAAGTGTTAAACACTGAAATAGTTCTGAATGTGTTGATAAATAACTGAGTGCCTGCACCACATATCCTGCCTTGGAATTCCTGGACTAACCTATGGTTTGGCTGCAAAAGGGATTATATCAGATACAACAAAAGGCTTTCAGAGCTCTGTTCCTATGCTAATGGCAGTGTGCAGTTATTAAATATTTTTCATAACATCCCTAGATAAAAAGAAAGGATGTAGGGAGACTAGAGAAGAAAGTAGCCAAGTCTAGAGCTGTGAAACCCTTGTTCTTCATCTCTAGGGTCCCCTCAACCTAGTTTTTCTTAATCAGTAATACTGGGAGGAGTCAAAACTGCCACCACATGGAGAGATGGCATATAAGGAATCCTGAGTTGGCCTCTTCTTCCTGTGAGACTGTTATTTCCTTGGGCTCTGAAAAGGAGATCCAACAACAATCATCTCTGCCCCAATTTCCTCTTTGGGAGAAATCATGAGGACTGATCCACTATCTTAGGACCAGAAGGACCAAATGAATGAAAGTAACTTTAATGTTAACAGTAAGCAGAGAAGTATATCATGATTTGCTGTAGGTGTTTACAGGGACAAGTCATTTGATGGCATTGCTGAAAGTGCATTTCTTTGTTTTAAAGTTCACAATGTTATCTTTCTTTGTAGCACTTATGAACTCCAACCAAAGCAAATGGCTGAAAGAATACCGGACAGCATCTTGATTCTTCTTCATAGAATAGAAGTTTCTCTTCATACCCACAGTGCTGAGCAGTGGGCAATGTACTCAACAGCTATTTTGAATTCAAGAGCCAAGTACCATTTTTCTGTGAATAACTGATAATATCTAATAGTACTAATAATATGTTATGTTCCTCAATTGTCTTTAGATATTTTCTAAGTGATATCCATGTATCATCTCATTTAAACTTCACTACCCCACTGTGCCTTATTATCTCCCTTTTACAATGCAAGAAACTTAAGTGCAAAGAATTTAAGTATCTTGTCCTAAGGTAAAGAGCTGGAAATAAAATGCTTGGATTAAGTTAACCATGAGGTCTAAAAGGAAATTAGGTTTAACATTCTACAAAGATGATTAAAGAAGGCCAAAGTAGAGAAATTAAATGTTATTATCTCAGTAATGCCTTTGCCATTATTTCCATCAAGTGCAGTGCTATCATAATTGAGATTAGAACTCTTGAAAAAAWTGCTAATTTGGATAGTAAGAGAAAAAATTACTGCTTCCTGATATTCTGCAAAGAAAGCATCTCACTTCTTCCTCAGTGAAGCTAGACATATGCTGATAAAAACAAGAATCATTTGAGTTGATCAGCTACGTGTTCTTTGAATATTTACTATCTGATTCTCTTTGAGAATCGTTTGCCTGGGTAACAAAGCACATATCCAGCCTGGTCTGATCTCCTAAGAACTGATCTAATTATTCCAAAACACATGTATTTTACCTGCTGGTTTCCATTTAAGATCAAAATTTCCTTTTATAGTATTTTTATACTTTAAAACTCCTTAAACAAATAAATGAAATTTAAATAATGAATGCATTTATATTTAAACTAAAATGCTCATATAATCCTTTAACTCCCCAAGTTACCTTTCATTCCTTCCTTTTTTATTTATCTGTCCCTCATGAGCAAATGGCAGTTGTAAGGTGTCATGTTAAGGTGTTCATTAGCTTTCTGATCTTGGTGATTTTAACAGTGTTGAAAAGAGTCTACACAGGAGTTTATTAACCTGCTCTTGAGCTTGTATGTTTGATCTTTCTTCTGACTTCAAAAAAATGGAAAAAGTAATATGCATTAAATATAGTTCTTTGAATGTCAAATGGGTAGATGATTTTTGAGCTTGCCAAGTGTTAATTGGTCTCTTCCCCAGTGATGATACAAATAAAATTCACAGCCAATTAGTTTGCAGTCATGAATCTTTACTTCTTGACAAAGTGAACTACTTTGTTGAGGAGACTGAAAAAAATGAAGAGCACCAGAATCTCCTCACTGAAAGTCTTTGCAGAGATCAGTTGCCTTTAAAGAATTTTGAGTGAAAACAAGGCAGGGAGAGCCATCTTAATCATGATATGTTTTGGATTTCAAGGGGGTTTGATGAAAGAGGGTTGCATTAGAATTTAAGAACTACAATTAAGCAGACAGATATACTATTGTAATCACTAAATGAAATATTGCATAGAGAAGAGTTTTTTTTTTCTTTTTAGTCAAAGTAAATCACACTATGTCTTGGTGCTGGAAGATAAGGACATGATTTTGGATGAAATAGCTACAATCAAGGAGTCTTTGATTCAGTGCTAGAAAAATGTCAACTACAAGGTAAAAAATTGCTCTCTTCTTCCAAAGTAAAAGGGGAAATTTCATTAAAATTTTCTATGAGATTGTTACATTGCTTCTTAGATATGTGAAAAATGGAGTCATTTAGGCCCTAAATTTTTACTTAATTTAGTATTAATATTAGTTTGGAAAAAGGAATCAGGTTTGCTTTTTTGTCACGGGCCCAGCGGAATAAGCTGATTCCCACCTTTGCTTAAATCTCTAAAAGACTGAAAAACTGTGAGAGAGCAAATAGTAAAGGCCTTATTAATTATTTATGAGTTACTCACCACTTTTTGAACAATGTTTTAAATTTCACTGATAGATAAAATTTCAAATTTTTATATTATGAAACATCAGCTAACTCCTATGCATTGAATGCCAATATATCCAAATCGCAACACCTAACATATACCTCTTAACACATACAAAATTTTTGAATGAATCAAATGTAGTATGGAGGCTAAGGAGAACCAGAAATTAGCACCTATGTCACTTGTCAAATTAAAATGTGCCTGGGTTTATAGGACTGGGCCAGCTAAGATAATCATCTTGGGTGCATATCAGAAGAATGTCTCCTAATGATCCTGTGAAAAGTAAAGTTTTAGAATTTGTGATTATCTGTTAGTGAATTAAAGTCACTGTATTAGAGTTCCTCAACAGGATGCTCTAAGCTGGTGGTCAGTGTCCCCAGGAGAGCATGTAATCTCCCGTGAGTCATGCAGGCCTATTCCTTGGAGACAGGCATTTTCAAAGGGCATTGTATAGTTGGGTGCCGATGAAAAGTTATGGTATACATCTGATTCCTAATACTTCGTGAGCATTCAATAGGCTTTGTTTTAGCAGACACACAAAAAAGCTTATAGGATGAAACTAAATGACACATTACTCAAGCATGTTCCAGGCAGGTGGATATGGCTTTTAGGGATGTCCATGATTACATCATATAATAGGAAATACACATGTAGAGTGTATAGACTCACAGACAGACATGGATTCACACACATCCTTCTCACACACTTTTTGCACATTATCAAGTGTCACGTTAAGTCATACCATCTCTCTCTATAAGTGCCAGATAAAACAGTATTTCTGATTCCTTGAAAGAGACAAAATTAAACCAAGCTGCCTKTGGCTTTGTCCAGTGGGGCATTATAATTGACTCCCAAGTCATTAATCAGTTCCCAATCAATCTATTTTGCCAGCAGCAGGCAGTTAGGACTCCATTACCAGCCATTCATCATGCCATGCCCTAATTCACCGCACCATTAGCTATGGATTAGGCCTCTGTTAGAATAACTTAAGTGCCAATTGCTAAATGCAAAGAATTTTTGTTACCTCAGCCACTGGGATCCCTTCAGGTGGTCGACACTGGAGTAAGACTTCCTGTTCCAGGGACACTTCCTTTCCCAGGGGTTCCTGCTCAAATGTCTTCCGCAGATCTATAAAGTACAGGTGATAAATTACACATCAAAACTAAGTGACATTTATGCATTTACAGAAAGTGCCAAAAAAGTTTAGCATTTTATGTCTTTGTATTCTTCAGCCACATGTTAATACTGTGCCATACTTAGATTTCCTCTGGTGGAAATTATGAAATTCAAAGGCTATGAATTATCCCTGTTTTAAATTTCAACAGAAACCTCTGGGGATCCTCATTTTTAACCATTAGTAAAATTCATTAATTGTACTTCTTTAGTATTTCTTTATAATCAACTATGGGGATCACCTTCTTAATCAAAAGAAACTCTGTTCTTGTTATTCATATTAATATAGAGTCCCTTATGTACATATATATTTTCCTCTCACAATAGATTCTATTAAAACTGTAGTAACTCTAGAATCTTTTGATCAATAAATAAAAAACAAGCTTCTGTTGCATGCTGGACACCAGGATGCTGGAGTCTTCAAAGAAAGAATACAATTTCTTGAAATGTCTCAAATATGAGGCAGGGAGAGAGTAACTATTGAGAAGAACCCAGAAATAACTCTAATTAAAAGGTATTCTTCAATTAGAAGATTAAATAGTCATTTCTGCTTAAATATACCAAGTACATAATTATGTGCTTATTTGGTAATAGTTGTTACAGCAATATGCAGCCAAGTTTTAGAAACTATTATTATAAGATAAAAAAATATTAGAAACCAGCTTGTTATTGAAATGCATCAGAGGTACACACTTTAGGAAACAGGTTTAACTAAACTATCATGAAATATCATGTGATTGCTTTATTTTAATATGTTGGCTTAAGCTCTAAATAAGTTTTTATCTCATTTCTAAAGTTAAGAAGGTAGTCAGTCATGGAGTTTTAAAGCAGCTTTTAAAAGAAATCCCACAAATTTTTATTTTATTTATTTGGGTCTCATAGATTGAATCCAGGGTGCTTAACCACTGAGCAACTTCCACAGCCCTTTTTAAAATTTTTTACTTTGAGATAGAGTCTCACTAAGTGGCTTAGGGCCTCACTCAGTTGCTGAAATTGGCTTTGAACTTTTGATCTTCCTGCCTCAGCCTCCTGAGTTGCTGGGATTACAGGCATGTACCACCGTGTGCAGCCCAAAATTTTATTTTATACTTCTACACTTCAGTTATTTCCAAAAAAAATTATTGGAATTTTATCCAGTAGATTTCAATAAAAATTATTGCCTCTGTCCTTCCATCCCAATTCCCCATGAAGACAGAAGAATCAGAAGCACCATTACATCCTGTTGAAATAATAGGTGGAAACCTAAAGACTCTAGAGACATGCCCCTAATGTCTCTTCCATAAAGCACCACTTAGAAAAAATGCATTGAGGAAAAAATATCCATTGTTACACATTTGCCTTTTTGTTGAATTTCTTGGCAGAAGAAAATCTGCAAGATTATAGTGGTTCTAAAAATTTCTGTCATCAGGGAACCTCTAATTTGGTTTTCAAGAAATTGAGTATAATGTGGAAATGAATACTTAGAATCCACAGTTACTATAACTCGAAAGGTCTCTAAACCATGCCTTTGTTTTGCATATGAAGAAAATGTGTACTGAGTTACCCAAAGCCTCACAGCAAAATACCTGATGCTGTAGTTGAACCCGCTGACCTCAGTTTACACAATTTGCCATTCCCTCTAACATCTCTTTTGGTTAATCTATACCCTCCCAACAGAAACATTGAAAATGTTTTCTTCTAATATGGTAGTTTCTGGGGATTTTTTTTATTTGCATTGAGATAAAACTTTTGGCAATTCACCAGATAACAATAAAAAGACTAGCAATGAATAACTTCTAGGGGATTTAAGAGCAATAGATAAGGTATATCTTGTTTGCAGAAAATGACATCAAATAGCTCCCATCCTCTGTGAAGTCAGGTGAAGACATAATGACTGGAATTAGTTCTCAAATTAAATAGCATACTAACTCACTCTCCAATTAATCAGGAGCCTACAAAATTAGGTGAAGAACAAGAAGAAGTGAGGCATATATGTATCCAAAGAATCAAAGAAGCAGTATCATCAATATTTATTTTCTTCTTATGGTAGACATTTTATTGGGTATGTAAGAAGAAGATGTGTAAGMTGCAGAACCAAAACTGGAGAGGTAAGCTGAGGTTTATTTACAAAAATCCTTTCTACCATGGTAACAAATACCAAACCCTCAAAGACTCCTAAGCAAACAAGGAGATCAGATGTCATATTGTCCCTAGAGTGGCAGATGGATTGAAGTGATGGTGAGAAGACAGAAGGTAGTTAGGGGCCCATTTGGATAGACCAGGAAGGATGATGGGGTCCTGAACTCAGCTAGTGATAGTGGACAGAAAGAGGAGGAAGCATATTCCAAAGCTAAGTAGATGAGCCTAGGTATTTGGAAAGTGCCAGGAGGTAAGGGTATTGCTGTATTTTTCACTACTGCATTAACTTGGTACTAACACTAAATAAAATGGCACCCACCTGGACAGAGAAGTGGAGAGAAAGATAACTTTGTGTTGGTAGGTGTTCAGTTTAGTGTATCTGTGGTATAATCAAATGGAAAACCCCAGTAGGTCCAACTCTTGGTTTCTGAACTTCTACACTATTAATTTTGTGAACTAGATAATTTTATTTGTTGTGAGGCTTGCCCTATCCATTGTAGGATGCTTAGTAACATCTCTGGTTTCTACTCACTGGATGCCAGAAGAACCCTCATAGCCATGACAAAATTATTGTTAGCTGACACTAAATGTCCCCTAGTAGAAAAAATCCTTTCTCCCTCCATTGAGAAACACAGTCTAGAGTTTGAGAAAGAAGTCCTGGTAGGACATCTTGTCTTCCTTGTCTAGGCAATGGCTGAAGCACTAGGAATAGATGACATCACCAGGGGAGAGACTGCAGCACAAGGACAAGAGGGCTCCAGCATTTAAGAAGTATGATCACCAGCAAAAATGAGTGAACCAAGAGGCAGGAGAAAAATCCAAAGAGAATTGTGTCACAGAAGCTAGGAGAAAAAAACATTAAGAAATATGGAGATCAACAGGACAAATGCAGAATAGGCAAAGGGGAAAAGTCATTGGTTTGAGAATTTCAGAGTGAGGGGAAGTAGAAGCCAAGTTATGTTGGGGAATTCATGGGGATTGGAGGAATGACTGTTAGAAATACCTACGACCCTATTCCAAAATTTTATGGTGACAGAAGTCAGCAACACCACTAAAGGGCAATGGATTTGAGTGTAGCATGCTGTCATTGTTGATAGGATGTGGTGTAATTTTTGGCCCACTTTTCAAATTCCTGCACCATGAAAGCATATCTCATGCAGTCTTCATTTCCTAATTGAGATGGTGACAACCAGAGGCACCTACTTAAAGAGAAGGTTTAACTCAACCATCATTGAATACCATATCATTGTTTTGTTTAAATGGTTTGGTTTTCATGTCTATAGAAATTTTTTTCTAATTTCTAAATATCTCACATTTAACCCCACACAAGACAATACTTCCTCCTGAAAAACGCTTGTAATTCCTGCCATAAAACCTCTCCTCCAGCTTTCGGGGTGTGTAATGAGCATAGAATATATTGTGGCTGAGCAGCGCAGCAGCTGCTCACTGCAGCCTCCACACTACTCTGCAAGGGGAGGGTGGGAACATTTTCAGCATATCCTTTATCATTTGTAGAGATGTGATAGAAGGCAGGCCTGATGCCTTGCAGGCTGAGTGAGCACAAGGGTGACGAATGAATAAGCATGAAAAACGGACACTTGTCAGCTAGGAATTAGATGTAAAACAGAATGGTTCAGAATAATGTGAGCCTTCCTGTCAGAAAAAAATGAGATGAATTTTTGCCCTTGAAAGACCTTTAGGATTCTAGTTTTCTTTCCATTAATTCTAAGGTTGCCTTGAATAAGAAGCATTACAACTTAGATTACTTTTGCAAAGTCAACTTGGCCTGACTCCTGATTTAGCTATTGATTCTACCAATTAAAAGAAAAATCAGCTCTGTCATAAGCGTGCATTCAGAGATGTTTACTCAAGAACATGAATATTGGCTTACTAAATCCATACACTGAAATCCAATTAACAGATGTCAAATCAGACTTGAAATGATATGAATTTCTATTGACCATTTATACTTAATCAAAGAATGCCTTTTTGAACATATACATGTGTGCACACAGTCTCATTTTTCATTGTAGAATTAAGATGCTTTTAATTATTATTTTCGATGCTAATAATGCTGTGGTTGAAAATTATCCATGATGTGGAATACACTAATTCATGGCATTCTGCAAGCATTAGCTCTGCTTTTTGACAATGTAGTTAACAGAAAAGAAGGTTAACTGGGGCATGAAAGACTTTCTGTTCTTTTGTTTTCCTCATTTATAAAATGAACATAAAGAACTGGAGATTGTTGAAAAACTCTTTTGCTATAAGGGCCTATGACTGAATAAGATTTTAAATATTCATTTTAGGAAAAAATATCCTATCCTTTGTGAAATAAAATAATTCTTGGTTGAAAGCAGTGTTTAAGAGAAATAATAGAAGAAATTATTTGTAAAGTGTCGGAGTTGACACATCTTAGAAAAGAACACCCCAAATATTCCCCYTGAGACAACTTTCATGAACATTTTTAATACGTTGATCTACAGGTATGGGTAAGGTAATTGAAAACTGGGGAGAAGGTTGGTTTCCAGAAGACCCAGTGTTAGAAATATTAGAAAATTCTGTACAAATATCAGAGTTCTGTAATATATTATACAAAGTTCTGATTAAAAATTAAAAGTTCTCATCATTATAAATATACTGAAAATTTTTCTGATAAAACTAATTTTTCAGTCTCYATCAGAGAGAGAGGAGGGAAAAAGGAAATGCTTACTCCAATAACATGCAAGAAAGCCCCTCATGCTAATGTGCATATTTACAAAAGAGGCAGAACATGGTGCCTCTTCCTCAGTGACAATCTTGAACAGCTTTGCCTGATAATCTGGAAAGGGTAAATG